TTTATAACCACCAACTAGGATATTACACCACCACTCAGGGGGAGGGGGGCCTGGCTGTGTTAAGAAAGGCACCTGAGAGTAGTCATATCTTCAGAAACATGTGCAGGTGTTTAACATTCAGTTTCAACCAGACAGGCCAATAATCAGCCTGGACACAATGAACTCCATACAGCAGAGCCCTTCTTGATGAGAGTCTTACAAATGATCAAGAAATTCCATGTTTTTATGAAACCAGAAGATTCATTACTGTATTTATATTTGCCAATCAATGAACTCTACCCTGAATCAGATTACTCCATTCCATAACAAAACACCAATTTGTTTAGGATACATTTTAATACTACCCTCCAAAAGCTGGTAATGTCTTTTTCAAATAACTTACAGTTTATTAAATAAATGTAAATTGACAGATGTACATTTATGCTATATATTTATCTTAATTTACTGTTATTTATTTTGAGGAGATAATGACTGCATAGAGAATTTAACTGGCAATACACCTTGGAACATAACCAGTTTGAAGATTGACAAGTAATTCAGAAAATCACAGAACAGATAGGATTGTGTCTGATGATGGACTTTGGTATTCATCGTGTTTGACATTCAAATCATGCCATCAGAGCGTTAGTTACTACGATTTACATATGCATTATCTAAGGACAGGATCTGTAACAACTCAGTCAGTATGGCTAGCAATCAGGGTCTGATCCTGACACGGACTAGATATTTCTCTTTGCAGCATGTCTAGACTGATTATGGGGCCAACCATTCTCCTATCCAAAATGTTCTACAGCTCCTTTCCTGAGTGGCAAGAACTACTAATCATGAAACTGACCACTCACCATTACCCAGTGCTGAGATATGGAATCCAAGGAGCTTTATCTCCAGTTTCAAAAACACTGTCATGATGCAGTGTACAGGAAAAAATGTAACTTGGTTACTGTGCCTCTAAATGGATGGTAAAATCACTATCATTTGAAAATTTAAGGAAAACATCCCTTTCATAAATAGTATAAAGCAACATTCTGATACTAGAAAACGAAGGCTCGATACCATTAAAACCAGAAAAAGCCAATGGAGACAATCTTGTGTCAGTTACATCTACCTCCAATCCTCACAACCTACTTTCTCAAAATCAATCTAGATATAATCCTCCCATTTCCTTCTCAGTTTACCAAGAGACCATTTTTGAATGTGTCAATACAAACATTCTGTAAGCAATACCCATCTATTCCAAACTACTTTTCATCTCCTTCAAATATCACCTATGTCACTCCAAAGAATCCACAAAATTCTGAGGTCCCTAAATGTTTCCTAACACAAGATTTTAAGTTGAAGGTTGCCAGACATGTGCTCTGTCCTCAAGCTGAATAATCCTTTGACAACTGTACACTACTACTTACTCAACATTAGACTGAAAATTCAATCTTGTCTATTTTGTCTCACTCACTTTCAGTATTCCAAAAGTCCACTTGTAGCATTGAAACTGATTTATCACACATTATAACTAATATCAATTCTGTGAAACCAGCCTCACAACTATCAGAGTATTACATTCCATCCATCCAGAGCTGGTAGGCAACATTTCAACAGCAATACACAACCAGGACACAGTGTTAACCACTTGTAGCCAAAAGAAACAGCACCTTGCTTGCCATCATACCATGTTCATAATACAGAATCTTTCTTAAGCAGATGACAATCTGCTGGTCAAGAAATTGCCCACTGTTATTTAACCAAAGTGTTTATCACTGTCATTATAAAAGCTCATCACCAAACTCTGTTCTGAGCCATTTCAATCAGATTCAAATCTCCACATCCTACCCCTTTAAGATTAATTGCAATATTATCCAACATTATAGAAGAAGGATTGTAAGATATCATTTTGTTTCTTTTTAGGTTTTTGGTATGTAAAACATTTGTGGCCAGAATGTCAAGCTGAACTGGACAACATTAATAACTATAAATAGAGCAATAATGAGGAAATATTGAAAATACAGAGTGTCAAAGTGCAAATACAAACACTTTTCACCCATTAGAACCACTTCCCTATGTAGACACTATTCAGGCATGAATTCATTCAATACATTTTTTATGGTACCAGTTTTTATCCATTACTCTCCTTCAACATTATCAGAGAACTTTCTGTTGCAGTACATAAAAAGTATATATTGATTCAGTTTACCATTTTGATCTATAGTATCAGCCTGGACACTCACTCATTTATAAACCATCTTCTTCCACTTACTTAGAGTGTGTTTGCTGTTTCCTGCTTGCCATTCTTAAACAACTTCTGCTTCTTCAATGAATCTTCAATTTCCTATTTATCAGGAGAATCTGTTATAATTTTGGATAAAATTTTACCCAACCCCAATTTCATTCTTTTAATCAGCATCATCAGTATTTTTTTTTTTGGCAATATAAAATCAGCTCAATTGTCTTCTATAGACTATAAAGTAGAAGGACTAGAATTTAAGCATGTGTGTTGTAGTTTCTGTTCATAGTAGCAACTCTCCTTCATCAGGTTTGTTCTCTTCTGCTGCTGCATTGGGGTGTATATCCTCTGAAAATATTCCTGTTTGCAGGATACAAACTGATGGTCCCAAAGTCACTTGCTGCTGATTTTTCTGTTTGTACTTGCAGATATGAATTACCAGAGTTCACACATGTCCTAACATGTTACTCTTCACTTATTTTGAAAGTGCCAACACTTTATTTCTTCTCCACAGCAGTGCTTCAATGATTCTATGAATGTTTTGTCTAATGCCTGAAGGTTGTTTATACAGGGAGCCAGCAATCAAAGTATATTGACGTCACATTCTCCAGCCCAAACAACCAGATTTCTTGTGTGGCTGAAGTACTGATCTGACAAAAACATTAGGATGGTTTTGTGATCATAAAGAAAATGATCAAACCATTTCATAAAAGCTTCATAAATGATCCAACTAAATATTTTGCACTTAGAGATAGTGCCTAGAAAAGAACATCTGGTGAGAAAGTAGTTCGAATTTTTTATGGTAAAATTACTAGAGGCAGAATGAAAACCAAACTAGCAGCATTCACTGATACAATAAATGTCATTAAACAGCTACTTTTACAGGCAGTTAAAGCACTACTCTGATGCTTCCCTTTGAGAGTGAGGATTATGGGTGTTGACTGTGAACTACAGCTCACCCAGACACAAAACAAGGCTAAAGACAGACATTTCATTCAAATAAATGTTTTACAATTGTACAGCAATTGATTGAAAAAGTTAAATAGAATTCAAAATACAGCTTGCCTACTTCTGGTGCAGAAAGAGGTCTACTAAAAGTAGCACAGTGACCACACTAAGTGGCTCACTCTTTTGCTCCACAGGTCACTAACCTATGACTCAACTGAAACCTGCTTCTTCTAGTGTGCTATCCCCATCAACATAGAGATGTACTGCATCAAACTGAAAGATTCTGTGTTTATAAGAGTGTGCTGTCTCCTCTTCTCCATTTCAGTCCAGTCTATCCTGACTTCATAGTCACCTTTTGAATGGTTCGTTCATGTGGATTTATAATTTTTCTCTGTAACCATCTATCTCCTGCTGACTGAATAAATACATAGTTCCTTACACGTGTCTTTGTACATTCCTTGAAAATTCCACATAATATCTTTAACAGCCTGGTGAAATTCCCCAGCGATATAGTCTTGCTCTATAATTTCCTCTTGGATATTTTCCATTTGATGTAATTTCATTACAGTAATAAAGGTTTCAGCTTTCTTCAAACTGTTATTACATTTAATTTCTTATATGTGTTACAAGTTCTTATAACCCTGTGTTTGGCATCCTAGTCAGATTCCCAATATGAAAATGGTGATCTAAATTTTTATAATAATTACTAGAATATGAAATTCATATAAAGAGCACACAAAACATCGAAGATCAGTAAACTTACCGAGATGCTTCCAACTGCCCATTCTTCACCAACATATCCACATAGCTGTTCCAAATATCAACACGTTTTGGATATGAGGTGAGGATATGTTCCATCAGAGTCTGTGCTCGTTCTGGTTCGCCTAGCTGGTTCTCCAAATGTGCAAACTTTGATATAACTTCCACATCTGTTAAACAAAATAGACAAACCATGCAAAACACAAGGAGGAAGAATCTAAGAAAGGTGAAGATGATGGTAATGAATGCATGATAGGGATAGGAGGAAGTAAAGGAGATGACAAATGAGGAGAAAATGGACAAATTGAAAATGAGAAGAAAAATCTAGAAGAAGAATGTATATAGCAATAGTTTTCTGGATAAAATACTTATAATTCTACTTCTTGCTCCCTTTTGCAAACATTAATTTATTTCATAATTTACAAGACAAAATTTAATACAGAACTTGAATTTTAATGGTGACTCATATTCACCGCAGAGTGACCTATGTACATTAATATGTCAAAAAGTGTTGACCCTGAAGAAAAGAGGTGGCAAGTTACACTGGTAACTTTTACCATTCTGACATGGTAATTTACCCAGATTGCTTTACAAGGAAGATTTCTTTAAATTCCTATTAAACAAACAGAAAGAAAAGCATATCTGCAAGTAATTTAACAAATTCACAATTTTAAATACAATTAATAAAATTAAAACTATGAATGTCATGGACGTCAAATAAACAAAATTTTGGTATTATGTAATGATGAATACAAACACACGAGGCTTGGACTATTCAGTATATTATTTGCAGGTTAGTGAACAGCAGTGTACCAACTGCAATGTTACATAGCACTGGATGTACCATGTATGAATGTTAGGGGACAAATGACAACATTCAAATAGATATGGAGGAAGAACACAAACATTGACTTCTAAAACTTACATTCATAGATGGAACTAAATTACTTCAATCGTTACTTACGTAATTTTTTATCCAGGCTAGCGAGTGCCCTTTGCATTAATGAACGAGACTTCTCAAGCTTCCCCAGTTTCAAAAGCACGCCTCCTCCTTGCAGCCATGCTTCTTTGCTCTCACGGAATTTCTTTGTAAGTAGAGACACTAATTTTTCAGCTTCCTAGACAAAAATTCAATCACAGATTCAGAGCTGGATGTCATTAAATTAAATAAAAATCCCATTATTAGTTTAGCACTTCCATAAAGAACACTTTATCATCTCTCTTGGCCACAAAAAGTTAAAAGTTATAATACTGATTTTAAGTATTTAATTCAAATTTTTCAAATTTAAAAATTACTACAAACTGATGCATGGGAACAGCAACTTGGACATGTACCTAAGCAGATATTAATAGATTAAGACCAACAGAGATGAGATTTTTAAGAATTACAGAACAGACAACTAACTGAGGATGGGAATAACAGGTTAGGAAAGATGTCACACAGATAGTAGATAGACCATGGGAAGAGAATGAAGAAGAACTGCGGGAAGAGAGAAACAGATGGAGAGGTTTGGTTGTCAGACAACCCCCCTTAAAGTAGAAATGTTTTAGGAATAAGAAATCAAATTTTGTGACTTATACAGGTCACCCGGGATTGTCTGGGTAGTAAAATTGATTACAATTCGATAACCGTTTAGCTGGATGAGGGAAATAATAGCATACAGTTTTGGAGAGCACACTTGCAAAGCCGGCAGTTAGAATACAAGATTTGACAATAATACAAAAAGGTTGTGAAAGGTGCAAAGTGGACAGAACTATCCAAGGATCATATCCAATGATGATTATTGTGCTAGAAGTGAATCAGTAGTTAACACATACCTCAGTTTTACCACTGTCAGCATATATTTTTAACATTTGTATGTAGACCTTGAATGGGTCATTCATTCGAACAGCTTCATCAAGAACGTGGTCTAGGCTCTCCTGCACAAGAAGATAAAAATAAATTAAACTTCTGTTCACAGCCACTGAAACAATTTTAAGCAATGACAAATACCTGTGATAAGAGTCCAATATGCTAAGAGCATATGTAGATTTTTATTACAAAGGGTATTTTAAAAAAAATAACAGATACGTTATTATATCATTATTATTATAAAGTTTATTAGTAAAAGGTAAAGCTAAAGTTTCCATTATTTATAGTGCCATGCCATGAAGGTGTACATGGGTATGTATGCAAAGCTCCACACACTGTAGACATTAGCATTAAACACTACATAGCAGTCGGCATCACACTACAGCCACTTTCCAACAATGCCCATTTGATTAGACAATGACCTCAAAGGTAGTTCAAATGTTTTACAGGAAGAATAAAAACCATGCCCCTGCTGAATACTGAACACGTGATTTCCAACCCATAGACAGTCACTTTACTGTGTGAGCTATCCCAGGTGGTAGGTGGTTAATCCTTAGGTTATTCAGTGACACTCAACTACAGAAGATCCTAACTTTGCCTGGAGAGAGCAAGGAAAACCATAAAATATCTTGATTAAGGCAGCTAGTATCCAGGCTAAGGCCACTCAAATAAAAGTCCAGAATGTTACCACTACACGAAAATGTTCAAAGTCCAACTACACAAAGGTCTTTCTGAGCATTCACTTCCTCTACCATGATACTTTAAATAATCTTTTAGCAGTCCATTAGATAACATTCATTCAACATGTTCCTCGCAGTCTGTCAAGCAGTGGTACATAAAATCCTTTATTGGTATAAATGCAATTCCTCCATTTTACAACAATAAATTACATATTAAAAATAGGAACTTACTTTTGAACCATAAAGATTCTCAAGGTTAAGCAATGCACACCATACATTCAGTTTTTCCTGCTCCTCACGGAATGAAATCGTACTTAATGCTCGTTGAGCGATGGCACGTGCTTTCTCTATTTCTGTGGCCTGAAAAACACACAATTCTGTTTCTTAATTTTATCACAAACCTAACTAACTTCACACTTCTTTCTTGGAAACATTATAACTGATCAGCTAATCAAAAAATTTCCTGCTTTCATGGAACCTGGAAGTCCATTAACATGTTTACAAAACCCACAATTAGAACCTATCTCAGCCACATCAATTACATCTAAACCTTCTTACTCCATTTCTTTAAGATCCATTTCAATACTGACTTTCCATCTATGTTTTGTTCTCCCAAACGATTTCTTCCCTTGAGGTTCTCAGACTACAATTTCACATACATTTATAACCTCTTATGCATACTACATGCCCTGCCCACATCATCATTCTCTATTTAGTCAGCATAATCATATCTGATAAAGAGTAGAAATTTTTCCTATCCTCTTCTTACTTCCTTTTTCCTAGGTCCAAGTACACTCTTCATCATTTATGGCTTATTTAAAAAGTGTCCACAGGATAGGGAAAAATTCAGTCTCTGTTGTGAGAATAAAAGAAGTGGACAGAGAGAGAAGAAAAACTAATGAGATAATAATAAAAAAAAATCTGTGTTAAAAGAGGGAAAGGGTGGCCACATACAAAAGTGAGCACTTATGCAATGATAGAAAAGAATGAAGAAGGCTTTGTCACAAGATACACAAAGGCAGAAACACCAACGGATGACGATTAAATCTATCTCACCTGAAGGTGAAATGCCATGTACTTGATCCAGCACAATGAGCTGTTTGGTGAAGACAGAACAAGTCTATCAAAATCATCAGCTGACTGTGGTCCAGTTTCTGAGTCCATCAATTTCTGTTCCTCAGCTCTAAGACGTTCCTCCTCCTGACGCGCTCGCTCCACACGTTCAGCTCGGGTCAGCCTCTTCCATTTACCTTCATGCTGTAATCAAAGTTTCAAGACAAATATTTGGTTTAGTGGAAACATCTCACATTTAAGAAGACCTGAACATATATAAGCAACATTTTCTGAGACCAACATGGCAAAGAAATATTTGAATTCTTAAAAGAGAGGACATAACAGAAAGATGCACAATGTGGACTTTCACAATTTGTCCTCTTCATTAAATATTAAAGCATAATAAGCTGGGCAAGGTATGCAGCATGAATGAGAACTACATATAAAACTTTACTTGCAAAACCTGAAGAGAAGAGACCACTTGGGAACCACTGGCATAGATTAGAGGATATTAAACTGCATTTTAAGGACTCCCACACCATTAAGTTAAGTTATTTTTCAATTCCCTATTAAACATCCATTTACACATTTGCAGTCAGTGACTGATCCATATATGAACTGTCTGTGCAGTGTGAATATCTGATAATAGGGTATAAATGTTAACATTTACAAATATCCAGGTATTCACCTTCTAGGTGATTTCAGTGTCTCTAGTGCCGAGGTCAAGGAAGAGAGGAGCTATACCTCCACTCACCCCAAACGCCTACATGGCGTATAGTGGGACAAACTTTACTTACTTTACGTTCCATGCTTTAAAAAGTCATTGAGAATGATATCTGTACATACAGCCCATAAATGTGTTTACTGTAAAGCAAGAGTCAACACTGCTGACAATGATGAAAATAATGAGAATTCTGTTCAGTTTTTTATCTGCCTACCTTAGGTACTTCTTCTTCATCTGATGAAGTATCAGATTTGTAAGCTGTGGTTGCTGCAGGAAGGAGAGATGGGTCTGCATCCCAAACAAACCCTGCATTCAATGACAATCGTCTTACTTGACCAGCATGTACACCCTTTGGTTCTCTAACCACTTCATTCTGCAAACTTGTTTTTATCCTCTTATTATGACTCCCTTCACAACCTGTATCTCCAACAATTTCCTCTGCAGACATTCGTCTCTTCTTACTTTTTGCAACATCAACATTTAAATTACATGACATTTCCCGTGTTTCATTTGATGTATTATTTGCATAGTTGTTTTTCATAGGTTTAACTTTCAGTTTTTTCAAAATGGTTCCCTCATCTTCATCTGAAGAATCCTTCTCCGATTTCACTTCACTTTCTGGTTCACTTCCAGATGCACCAGCATTAGGGATAATGTGACATTCCTTTACTGTGTCTTCACAAGAATCACGTCCTTCACCTGCATAAATTTCTCTCTTCTTTCTTCCTTTCACTTCTTGTTCTGTAACATAAATACTTAAATTATGCAACATTTCCACACCTCATATGATGTATTACTTGCAGTACTTTCACAGTTTTAGCTTTCAGTTTTCTAAAAAGGGCAGTCTCACCTTTAAAATTCCTCCTCAAATTTTACTTCAATTTTTATTCATTTCCATTTGAGATTATGTGACATCCCTTCCCTGTGCCTGCATAAGAATCATGTCCTACCCTCACACACATTTCTCTGTTCTAAAATCCTTTCAGTTTCTCCTCTGTAACAGTTTTTGAATTCCATAACAATTCCTGCACTTCCTCTGACTTACTATTTGTAGAAACTGAAATAAAATCAGAGGAGGCATCTTTGGATGAACATTAGGCAGCTATTTTGCAAAAACTAAAACCTAAAACTGCAAGAAAGAATTATACAGTACTTGTCAAGGCACTACAAAGGCCTGTCACATACATCATCTCAAATGACGGTGTTCGTAATTGTACAAAAAATGTAAGATGAGACAGACTTCTACATCTATTTACCTCTGTATGAGACTCCATTCCCTTCATGTTCAAATGTGTCTAAATTTTTAATTCCATCACCACTATTACTCGTATCATATTTCTGAGTTCTATCAGCATTTCCCTTCATCCTTTCTGCTGCAACCATGGCTCTTGCTTTTAATTTATTTAGTTGAAATACAAATCTCTGCTGCACACAGAGAATTCTTCCTCCTTCCAAACTATAAAATAAGGGCAAAGAATCAAAGATGAGTCAGTGATGACTAGGATAAAATGGTACTAAACAAGAGCTACTACACTACAGTAATATTGCTCACAAAACTACTCACAGTTTATAAGGTTACAACAAGATATTTAGTTTATGCTGTAACCTGTTTTTCAGAAATTTCAGGTTTATACAGAGTGGTAGTTATAGAAGACTAATACAGACCAAAATTTGGGGGGCAGGGAGGAGGGGATACACACATTACAACATTTAGGGTAAATCTGATAAACAAATCAATTAATCATGTGAATGGGGAGATACCTCCTCCTTTTTTAACATTTACAAGGACACAATAAAACCTGGTTTCTTAAGCAGAACACAGACATATCAAACAAACCTAACACAAAAACTTACGCCTGCACAATCATCTTGCTGGTTTCACCAACTCTATATCGACTTAAGTCCGGTTTCAAGTCATTCGTGTGACATCGTGATGGAATGTATGCAAGCTGCTTCCTTCCAGCCCCCTTCAAAACAGCCACAATCACTTCTTCACGCACACTCAACACCTCAGCTCGTACTCCCATTCCAACACCCAAATCACCATCAAGTTCTCCATCTGAAAAGAGAGAGAGAGAGATAAAACCACTATTTTCTTTCCTTCTTATATCACTGTACACAAGCACAATCTACTTTTGCTCTAAGTGTAAAAAACGTTTTATATACAAAAATAAATTTACATAAACGGACAAAAAGTTACAGCTTGTTTCTTCACTGACTTAACTTTATTTCTCAGCTGCATAAAATAGGAAGATAATGGTAAAAGATGAACAGAAGGGCCATGGAAGAAAAAAGTCATGCCCCATTTCAAGGTATCCCAGCAGAGAAACCAAATGAGGGAAGAAAGATAAAAGAAGACAAGGAAAGATGGAACCCAGGTACAAGAAGAGTGCTTGTAGGACAGCAATAGAGGAGAATTTTCCATAATAAAACCAACCCTGCTGGATATGTGAACTAATCATCATCATCACAGAAAGTGTAAATGTACCTTGGATACTGTTAATCCGTTTCATGACGGCCTGGTGGAGAGTCAATTCTACACAACCATTCTGAAAATCTACAAACAATACTGTCCCTTCCACCTTAGCTCCACATTTTAAGGAACCTGCAACAAGGAAGACATAATACATCACTACAAGCAAAATGCAAACAGAAAAATATTAATTTTTTATGATGTTGATGAAGGTTAATTTATTAGGAAAAATAATGAATAGCATAAATAACAACACAAAAACTAGCATGGATCTTGCTCTACAGACAACACACTGAAACAACTTACATATATATTTCCATCTTATTTTCAAAATGCAGGATAAAATCCATGAGAGGTAATAAATTCTTTAGAAATCTGGAAACTTAATAATGATAGGAATAAAAATGATGTTCATTATAAAATAATAAGCAAATTAGATATGGGGAATACTTGTGGTCATTCAGCTCATATGGTTTTATCTTCCTTATTTTAAATCAAAAAGATTGAAATATATGAATATGAACAAGAAAAAGCTATTTACAAAATAAACCACAAACATGCAGGATGGGCAAAGTAGTTTTGAGGTCTATGGATTATTGGTACTCTTCCACAATGTACCTTTATATAATTTAGGTGTAGCTATGCCTTGAACACCACTTTCCAACTTCAACACAGCACCACACTCCTTGACAGCTACCACTTCTCCTTTCACTCGGTCACCAGGTACAAGACTTGCCAAAGGACTGCCCTGTTCTTTCATGTGTGCAGCAATTTTATCATAATCCCGCCAAAAGCTGCGCAGAAGAGAAACACATGCCTGGAAATGTTACAATAAAATAGATTATCTCCTCTAAGATGTTATGATAAAAACAGATACAATAAGAGAAATTAACACAAAATAAAAGGTACTGGTAAAAGTGTCCCTGTGTTTATGGACAACATAAAGGCATATGAACAAGTGGAGTTTCTGAGTTCTTTACCTGAAAACCAGGTAAAGGTGAGCAGTTAACTTCACTCTCAGCTCCTGTCGCTACTGGGAGTCAAACCCCAGTTGTCCTGCCTGTGACCTATCACTTTATTACCTTTGCTACTAAAATAGTGTATGTTTTTAATTTTTTAAAAAATTATAACAAATTTCTACTGTTAACTAGAATTTTGCTGGAAAATATTTAAAATACTTCATCCCGTTCAGAGAAGAATTTGAGTATGTGAACAGACTAACAGAAATTATTGACTAGTAGAAGAATAGTTATACCATGCCATTAGTAATAGCAGTGTCATATCCAGTGCAGACTTCTAAAAAACATACTGCAATGTAAGATGAAATATAATTAATAAAAGTGTTTATGATTATTTGTAGTGTATATAACAATGCTGTCAGCAGTGCAAATTATAATCATCAAATAATTTAAGGTAACATACTAGCATCTGTCTGGAAGGAATGAGGAAAGCCACAGAAAACTCAGTCATGGTAGTCTGTCTCCAGGCTGAGATTTGAACTTGGAAACTATACAGAGGAGCAGAAGTGAAGCTTCACTTCACACATTCTTAACCCCTGTACTAGGTACAAGTGAGTGGTCAGCTTGATGCTCAAGTCACTTTCCCACATGGAAAGAGTCTGCAGTACCCACTAAATAGGAGGCTGGGTGGGCACCAGAGCTGATCCATGGGGCACTTGCAAAAAATATAATATTGAATACATGGCAATATTTAGCAAAGATGTTTGTGAATTCATGGAACTACTGAGACTATATCAATCACTGAAAACAACACCCAAATTACTTACCTCTGTACTGTAGTCCCAGCAGTCAGAAAGTTTGGTGGTTACATGTATGAGTTTATCAGGGCCACCAATGTTTACAACCTGAGATATTAAACCCTGGTGTTCTACCAGCCTAAGCTCAGATGCATCATTCACATGGATACTGCATAAACGCTGGAATTAGACACATGAAACATTCACAAAATGAAGAATTCTTTAGACATAATGATAGAATTAAAACTTTCTCATGTAAAAAAATGGTCCTTCTACAGTATTATACAAAAAAAAAAGATACAAAAGGCAGCATCTCCAAGTCTATCTGTAAACATGATTTTCAATTCTACCATTATTTATTCATTTCCTTTATGGTCAAATGCCCATTGTCCATCTCATAAAATGCTATTTTTGCTGACATTAATCAACTCCTACCACATTTCATGCTTTGCTTCCATGTGATATGCATGATTCTTAACAGAATAATAATTATTCAGTGCTGTTGGAAATTCTATCATACAAAGCCAGTCTAAGAGCTATGACCCTACTGCTCATTGTGTAATTTATTCAGTAACAAGCAAGTGCCTTGACTCCTTATTGCTTTTGTTCCTGTTATTTACTCACATTTTCTCAATTTTATACATCATACAGCAAGGCAACAGCATGAAAGGAAGTGAACACATCCAGAATATGAAGAATGCTTTGTACTCAGATGAGCCACTTGGTGATTTGTCATTACTTTTAAGGTATCTAAAAACAACTATGTTAACTCAATGACTACTGAAAATATCCTCATAACGTAGGGCTTTCCTGTTGCAGTGAGGTTTCATTATAATGTCACTCACCTTTAACCTCACATGTGTCAGGTTACATGTAGACAATGGCAACTGCAGTGTAACTTTCTTGGGCATAATACTTCTCACAGTACATGGAAGCAGCATCTTTTCACAAACTTCTGACAACTTCATTGCACTCTTAGACTGGGAATAAAAGAAAAAATAAAACTGAATGTATGAACTTCTTACATCACCATGTATCAATTTCCAGCTGGAATTTGACATTAAATGGTAATTAAAATTGTCACATTTAATTTGGGTTTCAGGGCTGTGCAATCTGGAAAGAATCTGTATGATTGTCACCTGGAAAGTAATGCTCTCACAAGTTTCTTTAAGTCCACAAGAAAACAACAAAACTTTCAGTGGATGAGATTTAATTTTCTCATGTGTAGATAACAGGTTACAACAATATTTTGACAGGTATTATGTCAGTAAGTAAGTCATCAAAATGGCAGATTCAGTGACGTGATTTATATAAGTTTTTGTTGGTGAAGAATGAACCAGTGGGAAACAACAAGAAAAACCTCACAGAGATGATACTGTAAAAATCCCTGTTCATCGCTGGGCACAAGTGAAAATGACAATACAGAAACTGACCTTCATGTTCTATTAAAAATATATGGACCTGTTCACCCTTCCCATGCTATTCACAAAATCTTGCTACAAGCAGTGTTCCTTCTGGCCTCAGTTATTTGGTGTTTGAGAAGATCAGTGAGAGAAATGTGTTCTCTCTATCTCTCAACAACTAAAGCTGTTCATGGCCTTTCAAACAACATAAGTTACATGCTATAATAAAAATACACCAACAAATAGAGGTTTCTTTATACAAAAATCAGTACAGACAGGATTAAAAATCATTTACAAATAAGTTCCTTAATTCTAGTGTCAAATGCAAACATAGCTTCTTCTATTCCATGTTAAGGTGTACAGTGGAAAAGATCCTGAAAGGCTAAAATGTAGCTTCAGGTTAAAAACTCACCTGAAAGTACTCAATAAGAGAAGGGCGCACAGTAAAGACAAGACCATCTATTTCACTGAAGCAGAATGCAACATCAATAATGTCCCCAGGTGCATATGTACTGAGTAACAAATGGGCCAAAGTTGGATTATCTGTCAGGTGCTGGGCAGGTATTATGCCACTTCCAGCATTACCTGTAAAGATTCAAGCACATGGGAATGCCAGAAACAAATCAGAATGATACAGAGAATACAATACTCACAATTATCTTTCCACATCCTCCCTAAAACCCAATTATTAATATATGTATAAAACTATTTTTCATATGTGGTTTTACATGGGTCTCTCACTTTGGCAGGACAGTGACAGTACTGAAAACAAAGCTCTAAGAAAAATATTTAAATTTAAAAACATTAAAAAAAGAAATGGAGACAATAAAATAATAAAGAGCTTGACAGTTTGCACTCACAACCTAATATTATTAGCATGGTTACATCAAAAGGGACGAGATGGTCATGACATTTTATTTACATTATTTCGGAGCTTTAAATGTAATGCCATTATATTACTCGTCAATGTTTGGGTGCTGGGAACGCATGTCATTGACTTCCCATTGACTTACATTATAAAATTGTTCCAATTTACGCCGATTCCAATTATGCCGGTTCGTCCAAGAACGCATCTCCAGCGTAAATCGAGGGCTACCAGTATATGAAATTTCTGTTTCTTGAATAATTATCAACTGCTGAATAAAGTTCCTTCTTGAAATTCAGCAAGTTAAAAATTTAAACTCAAACAGAAAAATGTAAAACAATTAAGGATAAGTACTTACTCTCCACTTCTAGTGCTACTTGTGTACAACTGGTAACATTTAATTTGTACATTTTTCCTACTTTAGATATTTGATTCCTCTTCTTAGAAACTTTATCTTCTGTACAATCTCCCTTTAAGCTCAATGTTAGCTTTCCATCGTTCACATTCACTGTTTTTACATAGCATGGAAGCTGAAAAAACACCAGTAATTAATTTCATGGATACAGAATTGGACATACCAAGTCTGAAAACAAAGTCTCTCCCAGGAAAAATACATAGTGTGTCAACACATAAATACACCCCCCCCCCCCCCCCCCATTAGATTGTGCCAAAACATTTGTTGAATTCCAGGTCCTGGTTTAACATTTTATAACCTGTTAGTCTTTTATGACAACATTTTTAGTCCCACATGCAAACCTCAAGCTGAGGAAGCACCACCTCTCGACTGTCCATTGACTGCTTATTAAAAATATTTGTGTTGTACATCCAGCAGACACTTCCTTCATCAGTAACCTATGAAATATCATACCATTTCTATTTGTTCTTTCCACAAAGTGTATAAAATGAGTCTTGGCTGTCAACAGAACTTCACTTTACATGCCCTGTTTGACAATTTAATATCATCTTCCAAACAGTGTACAAAGGAAGCACCTAATTCTTAAGGTCTATTGTTTAACAGCAGTCAAAATTTGTAACTTCATTTCAAGGACTTGAGCATACAACAGTCTTCAAAATACTCTTCTTACATTTGCAAGCTAAATCTACAAAGTATTACATTTCTTAAAGAAATAAGCATACATGTAAAAATAAGCTAAAAATGTTAACAAACAAACAAACTATAGTGCATGTATAAATATGGCTTATTTAAAAATCCCACGTGCATGTCAATCAGTTTATTCTTAATAGTTCACTTTTAATTTTGAAATCCTACCTTAAAAAATGTAATAAACGTACCTAATTTTCTGATATTCTAGACTTTGCAGGTATAGACATATTTAAAAACAAGGCCAGTGACTAGAATGCTGGACTGTAAATTTTGTACTTTAAACATTAATGTTGTTTTATTACTGATACAATTATAGTGTTGCCATGCTAATCATTCTACAGATAACACACTGCATAATCATAAATTATTTTTCCTTGTTAGTTTATTAAAAATTCACCATACTGAACAATATTTTGAATTAAGCTGTAGATTGTAATTAAACCTATATTTTATGTTGTGTAAAAATGTTCCACATTTATAAACTGTTTTTAAGAAAAATTACAAAGTTGAATTTGACCATTATGTAAAGTAAGGCTTACAGTAAATAAACATGAATAAAAATCAGAGTTTTAGTGTAGAACAGTTTCTGAGATGATTCTCACAGACAGATGTAAGCTCTGCAAAGAAATTAAGTAAATATGTAATATTATAATCATGCAAATATGGCATTTTAAGTAATACTTCACTCAAATTCATTGTACCCCTACAATACTGACAACAAACATACCACTTGGCCAATATAATATTTCTTCTTTCTATCAGCCTTGCTAAGTTCAAGCCAACCTTTCACATCACCATAGAATGTAAGCAGCAATCCAGTCTTCACAATCAATACAACCACTCCTTCACACAACATTCCTGGCTGTGCATCTTCAAACCTATGCAAAGGAGGTATATCCGAAACCAGCAACACTGGTTTAAGTGTTAGCTGTATCTTGTTTCCCTGTACCAGAAGGACCTGTTGAAACACAACGAACTTCTAATACCCAACTTATCATGCATTTCATGTCACAGTCAGCACAATCGTCCATTCATTCACATATCCATATTAGACATCACCAAATTGCACACTTCAAGGTTACAGTAAAATCATACATATGCATTAATGCATTCCAACAATGACCTCAGTCCACAATGCTGCAAATGTGTGACTTTTGGTAATTCAACTTGTATATTTTCTAGGAAAAATGTGACTGACACACAAATGAGCCCTTAAGGCATTCTTTGCTCATGCTAAGAGTGTGAAGAACATCTAAAAAGGTAATGAAACAAAGAAATATATAATGTTTAGAAACAATGCACTACTTTAAAATAATTACAAAATTCCTTACTTGAGCAGAATGCTGACTTCCCACCGGATATTTTTTTTCAGGATGTTGAAGGGGAACATTGCTCAAGTGAAAGGACCGTACAAAGCCTGTGAGGGGTTTGCCACCTCCATCAATGGTAACAAATGCACCAGTTTGTATATGCTCCTTAATCTGACATGAGACCTTCGTGCCAGGCTGCAGATCTTTTGGGTACAAGAACTTTGCCTTAATAATACGTCTGTAAATGAGACAAACATTGAAACCACACATTACAATATAGTCACAGGCTACAATGAATATGAAACTGTTGTAATACAGCAAGGGAGGGGGGGGGGGGGGAAGCTACACGCATTTTTAACCTTGGTATTAGATGATGTGTGTGGTCAACATTACATTCCAGGTAATTTGCCCCGCATAGGACGAAACCCTGACCACATAAAGGGCTGGATGGACCACAAAGCCAGTCTGGACAATACAGTGGTAAAAAAAATCTGTCCTTTCTGAATACTGAACCCATCACCTATCTTACAACTAGTCATTTTAATGACTGAGCTACCACTACTCATACATAACCATCTAGTAAAACAGCAAATACCAAAGGCATCCTTACAAAGTACAGGCATGCCTCACATAACTAAACATGGATGCTCTATCTGTACAAGACAAACTAAATGTTGTTCCCTAGACCATATTTATAACAGCAGAGATGCTGGGGCACTGCAAGAGCAAAACATCCACTTATTGCCTGTAATACATAAGTTTAAGATTGTAAATACCAATTTGTCAGGTGCTTCAAATGGCTGTGAAAAATGTCACTCAGACAAAAGTAGATACATTACCAAGTGCATGAAAACAAAGCATCCAGGAAAACATTTTAACATAAGAGGGATGATGTATGATCTGAAGCTATCACAGCAACTAAGTATAATGAATTCTTCTTGGGCTACCAGCTGTGTATGGTGGTTTAATGAAGAAAACATCTTACATGGCTGGTAGCCCAAGAAGAATTCATTATAAGAGGGATGAAGTAGAAATAGAAAATACAACATGCTGAGGAAGTTCATGATTAATACACGCCACCAAGCAATATTAAGATGATGATGGTTATGCCAGGCGAGACATGTAGCTTGAATGGGGAAGACACGAAATGCATAAGTATTGGTGGGGACATCTCTCCTAAACAGACCACTTGGAAGATAGGGAGAAGGAACTGGAATGATTTTAACATTAACACTTACAAAACTACAGCCATAGGTACTAACTAGTCTACTAGATTAACCCTGTGCACTGGCCGATCTTCATTCTTTTTCAGAGGCCAAAAAAGACCACTGAATATAGACTGAAAATGATTGAAAACATATTTTGATGTCGGGAACTCTCATGTACGTTTTTCCAATTCTTGGACATTCAGATATTTATAACAATGTAAAACATAAATCTGATTAACTAAACAATTTAAAAATGTATGATCTAAAGCTTTCACAGTGACCAAGTATAATGAATTCTTCTCGGGCTACCACCAACGGGATCTCCTACAACTTCGGCACCCTGAAGACAAGGACAAAGACAGTTCTCAAAATGTTGGATTTTTCTCCATTAAACCAGCTGATATGGCCGGTAGCCCGAGAAGAATTCATTATAAAAGGTAAAAAGAAAAAAGGACAACTGCCTCCTTTTATCTAAAACGTCTTCAATAATCATCCTCAAGCATTTTTTCCCAGAGTTTTCTGCCAACAACAGAACAAAGGCAAATTAACACAAAGAAATCACTCTATAAACAGTTGACATAGCAGACTGATAAATAACACTCATTTGAGTACTCAATATTTTGAAACTATAATGTGAGATAATGGGATGTGGTGTCAAGCAGATAAATTGCAAGAATCAAATTTATTCAACTGGAAAAAAAGTAAAGCTGTCCCACTTTAAGCCATGTAGGTGATTGGGTGGAAAGGGAGTATAGCTCCTACTCATTCTTGACCTCAGCACTAGATAGGGGATGAGTGGTCAGCATCACGCCCTGGCCGCACTTCATCCCCGGGAAAGGGCCCCGATACCCATTGATTAGGAGGCTGGGTGGGTCCCAGAACCAGTCTGGATGCAGAGGCTACAAGAAAAATCCTCTGCCCCCATCAGGGATTGAACCCCATCATCCAGTCTGTAGCTAGCCACTATACTGATTGAGCTATGCTGGCTCATAACTGGAAAAGTAATATTATGCTAAAAATGCATTAATAAAACAAAGAATTTGAGTTTCATATTATTTTTGAATGCCCCATGCAGTAATATTATAGCAGCTGTGCTAAAATGGATCTTAGAAAAATATCTTGTAAAGATAGGAGACGGTTCAAACTGGTTCAGGATCATGTCTAATGGTGGGTTTTTAATTAGTAATGTTAAAACTGAAACTTCAATTACTAAAGAGTTAACTCATTCATTACTTTGTTATTTTATCAGAACTAAAGACAGCAAAATGCAATATGTCCTAAAACCTAAACAATACACGTGTAAATTACACAGGCACTTTCACTGGTTGTTTCAGTACTTACTTATCAAAGGTACAGATGAAAACTTGTGACATATAATCATAACCAAGCACTTTGCATTTATGAAATGTACCAACTGCAAGTCTTTCATTTAATTTTTCTTTAAGTGATTTGCCGTCATCAGGTTCAGATCTGTTGATGGAGCAATGGTGAATGGATACAAACCCTTTGAGGCTACGCGTCTTCATCTTTATACTTATTGTGACTCCACAAGTATCCACATGTTCAATCTGAAAGGAACACACAAAGTATTATGCATCCATGCACAGCAGGAAGGGGAGAAGGGAAGCCTCATAATCTTAAAGCATTTCCCTATTCCAAGAATAAAACTACTGAGGTTATGGCATCAGCACTGCAATAGTAATTCTAAGCTCCTGTTCACTTGCATGCTTTATAAAGCAGAATTAGCCATTCTATTCATGAAAGCAGAGAAATTAATACTGTTTACAAGCAACTGGTGTGTACTGAACTGACTACATGAGTTGTCACAGAAAACAAAAGAAAATGTTGTGTGTAACAAGTACGGCTCTGAAAATTTAAAATGGGAATACAATATATCATTATTAAAAACAATTTACACTTCTGAAGAAATGAGTGAACTATGAGCTACATTCACCACCATCTTACACAACAGCCACATACAAGAAAACAGAAAAACAAATCTTATTTCACCTGGATGATGTCACTGGAAGGGAAGTAACAGCATTTTAATGCTCCATAGTTAATATGCCACAAACAGTTTCTCCTGTTTTGGCCAATTTGATCATACAGATCTCTTCCTGCCTCATTATAGTGGAAGAGTTCATTTTTGAATCAGGGGCACCTATGAAGTAGACTCTGATATTCATAATGATAAAACAATGAGGATGTATACTGGCAGAAAAGATGTACAGTTTAACACAAAATTCAGATCACAGTAGGGGTCAGAGACTGCTCCTATTCACAAAGTTTTATATTTTCAGGCATAAAAGAAGGCAAATGCATATGGAAAATTAATGATGCATGTGGCCACTCACCAATCAACATACCCTTGGTACAGAAGTCACAAGTCCTTGGCCACTAAATAAATCCCCATGTTAAAACTGTCACCATTCATAATTCCTTCAGTTACAGTCTACTCTCATTGCCACCAGTACAGGAGACCTACAGCATATGCAAATGAGATAGGTTTCAGCAAACCAGAATAAAATGAAAATTCCACCAAGGTATAAACTTACCTTTGCTTTTTTGACAATGTCTCCAAATTTCACAGACTTAGACAGTGCAATGATTGCTTCTGGGTCAAAAAGTTCCTTCTTCAAAGAAAGATAAATGAGCTTCACTGTAGGCAGAACATACAAAACTCTGGCAAGAATGTCATCTCCTGTAGAATAATCTTGGGGCGTATCCCACAGTGCTGAGAGATGGTCCTTATGGACATATCCCACAAAGTGTTGGCCAAATTTTACTTCGAGTCCATTCTTAAGTACCTACAGACCACCAAGACATCAACAGATTTTTGTACTACAAGAAATAGAAGTACAAATGCAAAATAAGGGCATAAGGATACACTAAAATTTGGAAGAAATTTATTGTTCAAATGCATTCTTTAAAATTTTGCATTCCTCAAAAGTCCTTATGCCAATTTATTCCAGATACAGTGCTATTATTTCAAAACTAATCCACAGAAAGATACTGTGCATATAATCAACAATACATATTATAAAGCAACAAATTCCTTTTTTTTCCATTAATTAAATAGACACTGTATTGAATAATTGTTTAAGAAGTTGTAGATCATAACAACATATAACTGTTTAAAAGAAGAGCAATTTTTGTGGAAACTAAGAAGTTCAATTAGGTTCACATAAACCAAATTATTTTATGTGAGCAACACACACTTAAATTAAATGTACCCAACAAATGTTATTATAGACTTCAAAGGAAATTTTTATAATGAGCAGTTTTGAAAATGAAACATGGACAGACAAAAATTCTCCATTATGCATTCATATAAAGAAATCTGTTAAACCGAATATGCTTAAAAATCAGACACCATAATTCAAGAAGTGACACAATAAATATTGACCTTACCTTCGAGACTGATGCATTCAACAAGGTTCCAGGAAGTAACATATCAACAGTCATCTCTTCCAAATCTGCTACAGCCATTGTAACTAGGTCTGGGTCAGCTGATAGTTCAACTGTTGCAGTGACAGATGTAACATTTGACTTGGTCACCAAGCACCTCACCAGATGGCCCATTCCTACAAGAAAACAGATTTAAGTAGAAAGTATTATATTTATGTTATGTAAAGGCAAAGTTGTCACTGTGACCAAGCACAGGGGGTATGAACATAAATCTGCACACAACTTCTTAGACCTTGGCACATAACAAGGGTATGTGGTTAGCTTCACACTACAGCCACACATCCTCTAGGAAAGAGCTCATGGTAACCATTGGACAACAGCCTGGGTACATCCTAGAGTCAATTAGGATGTGGTGGCAAAGGGAAAAACCCCTATCCCCATCAGCAATCAATCATGGCCATCCACCTCATATTGTCACTATATTAGTTATGATATCCAAGATTCCTGTTTGTCCACTATTCTGTTAACCATATAATACAGTCCTTAATAAAACTTCTGTATTTGACATCCTTCTGGACTTTATACACAGCAACACTACAGGTGTTAATAAGAAATAAAATGGGATGCTTTTGAATTAAAAGGAAATTAAATTAAATTTTTAATATCATTCCTTTAGACAATCAATTAATTAAAAAATTATAGTCACATTTAATAATCACCATTAATCCTTTGAAGTAACTGTATTTACCAACAACTTTAGCATTTAATAAAACAGTATTTTGCACACATAACAGTATTTATGTAGCTCTCACAATAAACAGTGCTTATCTCAATGATGGCTGTCTTCTAGCAAGCTGCACCTTGCAGTCTTGTAGAAATTAACTGATGTTTTGTAGGTGCTTACTGCCTCCATCATCCTGAACATGGAGGCAGTCAATTTCTAGACTACACACATAACAGCCCTGAAGACAGTCAGTTATCTTCATACTCATCACCGTGAAAACCTGATATCTTACCCTGCTCATCTCCCACAACATTATGAACCAATTTGTCTTTGTAATGAAGATGCGTTTTATCTGAGGTATAACATGAAATTTTAAATATTATTTATATGAGCTTCTGGCTTCAAAACCTTTGAAGAGAGTACCTAATATTCTGACATAAACCAACCTAGTGGTCTCTCTTGGTTCCAGATGATCTCGTACTTGAGTGCAGCAGATCTCTTGAGAAAAGCTCGAACATTTTTAATGCCCATATCCATGACATAGCCATTTTCCTCTTGACTCTTCACAGCAGCTATCACAACAGAGCCAGATGTCACTGCTCGCAGTGACCAATCAGAATGCACCACATCAGGTACCAAACTCAATGTCACCTTAGCACCATGCTCAGATGGTCGGTTGACTTCAATCACTCGAGTCACTACAGCTTGTCCTACATGAAAGATTTCATTCAGTTGAGGTACTTTCTGAATAACAAAAAAAGCAATTGTTTTCATCAGTAATGAGAGCAAGCAAATCATCTATTCAAATCCCCATTTCTACTAAACACACAGCACAACTCTGTTGATTATAACTTTGCACAACATTACAAATAGCAGCACACATTGTGTTGCTATCTGGTGACCACTGCAGTTTTATGGAAAGGCTTAGTCTTATGCAAAGAAATCATCATCCAAAATAAGGTGTTTACGGTGTCCAAAGCCAGTGCCCATGGTTCCTGTACAAGGCTGCAAATGTCAGCAAAATTTACCAAGTCATGTTACTATCAATGAAACACTGAGACACTCTTTATAAACTACTTGATCATATACAAAATAAGAACATTCCAGTATTAGTAGCAGATGGAGAGGAAGTGACAACATACCTATATATTTTGGGAAAAATATTAATTATTAATTACCATGTTGTATAATCACAAGATTAATATTGTTGCACCATTATATTGTATGACTGGTCAGTAGCTTTCATGTTCACCTGTGCATAGTTTTGCCTTGTAGTTTACTTAGTATATGAATAAATTAAGAATTGTAGTTTGCTTCCTAGAACCACCACATTAAACTAACCATCTACAATTTCTCTCATCAAAAAACTTGTTCTCTAACCACAAGGGACATAGTTTATACAGCGGACTTGGCTGAAATTGACAGCAAAATCAAATCAAGTCCATAAAATATTTGGACTGTACCCCACAGTATGCCGATTTAATATAGGTTACACTGGAGACCAGCTATCTAGACAGGCATTTCTTGATTTTCCTCAGTCCCTCTATGCATATGCCAGGATGGCATATTAAATTAGGCCACAATCACTTCCTTCTGCATCCTTTCCAAATAATTACTTACTATCATCCTCTCATTCAACACTATATGGTCTGAGCTACTGAAAGTATTGTTAAATAAAAAAGTAAAACTGTCCCACTATACGCCATGATGCACTTGAGGGAAGAGAAGGTATAGCTCCTACTCATTCTTAACCTCAGCACTAGATAGGGGTGAGTGGTCAGCATCATACCCCAGCCACACTTTACCCCCAGGAAAGGATCCCGGTACCCACAAGATAGGAGGCTGGGTGGGCCCGAGAGCCAGTCTAGACACAAAAGCTAGAGGAAAACTCCTCCTCCCCTGTTGGGGATTGAACCCTGATCATCCAGTCTGTAGCCAGTCACACTATTGACTGAGCTACCCCAGCTCCCACTGTTAAAATAAAACTACAAATTAATAAATGTTACAAGATACAGTATTACACCAGTTTCAATAATAATGTCTGACCTCCACTACAGCAACTCCATCCACCAAATCCTGTAGATACTTCGTGTAAGGTGCTGATATATTGGTAACAGGAACATGTCCTACCAGTCTGCCTGGCAGAGACACCACAATATTGTACTCTTGTATCTCACAAACACAGCCAAGTAACAGCATGCCCTCTGAAAGGGTCTGAAACAAAGTTTAAAATGATCAGTGATAATTCAGTACAAACTTGTGCTACAATGAGTTTAGATCATTTCTTTCTAAATGAAAATACATTGAAAATGTAATCAGAGAACACACATTAAAACAGTACAGAGAAATGAATAACTTCAGAACATGGGCAAGAGGGAAATAACGGTAAACATTCATAAACTTGGAGTAGGGAATTTTAAACACTCGTACTACAAAACTGCTGGCTGGACTCCGATGTTAACAATTTAGTGGTATGCTAGTGTGACACATGGCCAGCTATACTGTATGTAAGCTGTGATGCATAACAGATAAAAATTAAAAGTGCAGCACTGACAGTTTTACAGTTGAGATCAGACAAGTGCCAGGTCAGAGGTGAAGCCCATAACTTAGGACCAAGGGTATAATAATGCACTGCTTGATCTGGGCTATCACACATCTCATGGTGTAATTATAGTTCGGCATACAGCAATGGTGGAATGATAATTATCACACAGCTTTTTGACATTTCAGAAGTGGTGTAGCTGGTATGGTGCTTTTCTCACATTATGGCACAACCAGCCCCCACCAGCACCAGGATTAAAACGCTGCTCAAGCATTTTTATGGCACACATTATAAAGACATTTACACTGGTTGATTCTAATATGTTTGAATTATTAGTCTAAGTTTTCATTACAAGATAGTGCTATTTTTCCCACAGACACCATGATGTCACAGGAACATGAAAGTATTTACATGCAGATTTTTTAAAAATATATTGTGAAATACAGGCCTAGGGAGCAGATGGGGCAGCAAGATGTTCAGGGGGAATCTGACCATTAATGGTGCTACCATTCATAATAACAAAGACTCTTTATCATGAAATGGCATGATCTTCTTTTCATCTGTTATGATCCAACCTTGTCCTATAATAATAAAAGATTACCTTTCTCAAATTTGCCAGTATAAATTCTAGTCAGTGTTGCATTTATCTCAACACAAAAGGAAACATTACTATCAATTAAAATATATAATATAATTCAGGTCTATACACAAACTTTACTTACAGATGTTAAAATTTAAAATTTGCGCTATTCATCGTTACTACGATGTTACAATACTGCGCCTTCATTACTACATGTTTCGATGCATAAATAGGGTTTGTTGACAGTAGATTACTTCTATAACAGAGATGACACACAAACCTAATACTCTTATCTATCACTGCTCTGAATTCTGTCTTGCAACTACAAAGTATGGTCATATGAAATATACCTGTCCTAAACACAGTTCTCACAAATGAAGTGAATGACTTTGAAATGTATGACAATATATGGGGCATAATGTTCCTGGATTTTCAATAGTATAAAGTTTTTTCTTTTTACCTTACGTGTCAATGGTTCTGCATGAGTTACTTTTAATTGGGAACTCAATCCATGCTTCTTGACCCTCTTCTTCACAGTTTTCTTGAAGTGAGAGCCATTCTGTGATGGTTTACCAAACAACTGTGTGAAACAAAGTTCAAACAATTTAATAAACACCCAAATGCATTATACATTTCCCTTGCAAATTTAGGAAACTTCCAATTATTCATTATTGAACATTTTCAAAATTGTCTAGAACAATGTAGCTGATGCTCTAACACCAAGGGCTACAACACATACAACAAATTCTTAAGGACAGACAAATATTCCAATGATACTTCTGCATTTTACATTATGGAATAACTTTACAATTCAGTGAAAATGTATATGAGCCTCTGTAACCTTCAAAAACATGTCATCTGTCACCAAACCTCTAAAAAATTTGAATTATACAGTGGATTCCAGTTAATTGGGACACATCAGGACTAGAACACTTTGGCCCAATTAAGCGGCTGCCCCAATTATGTGAAGTTCCATGTATTTCTTGCAGAAACATAAAAATATGTATAAATAAAGGAAAAAATCTGCAATGCTGTAAATTAACTTGGGTGGCATCCCAGAAATATGCAAACTATTCCAATACCCCTCAAATGGTGACAGAGCAATCTCCTTAAACATTACCGAAGCCTTCAGCAGCAACGAGAGAGAGAGAGAGAGAATTATCCTGCTATTCATCTGCCTTTTAACATCATCTTAAATAACAAAACAAGTAAATGCCAAAATTCATACTTTCTCCACTACACATAAGACAATCCTCTATCAGATACCAGACAGCACACCCTGTCAGTTCTCATTATTTTATTCCAAGCACAAGAGAACAAAAAATTCAGTTCTGAACTCTAAGCTCTATGTACTAGGTGAACATAAAACAGCAAATTAAACATAATTCTCTATAAACTTACTCCAAAACGTCCTTTCCTGGGCACAGAAATTGCAGGCTTCCTTCCACCCCTTGGAAAATTATTATTATTTGATGCCATTCCCATTTTTATATTTAAGAATGTTCTTTAAAAAGGAAACAGATTGTCTGTTTATTAAGTATTCACACACATGTGGGTAGTCTAATCTGCAACAGAAATAAAACAAATTTCTTAAAACCTAATATTTAAAATTACATATATGAAAGCTGAAGTTATACACTAAATTCCAGCTGGGGAAAAAAAGGCAAGGGCCACAGTGTAGAAATAATTACTGATCTCACATCCCAAAATGCTACCTGTATGACATAAGCCAATAACATTAAAATATATGCTAGGTATGAGGAAAAGCCCTTAACTTTTGACCAAGAGTAAAATAATGCACTAATTGGTCTGGGTGCATGGTATTGATGGATAGAATGGTACTAAACTTGTAGCTTGTTCTTGCAGGAACACACTGTTTCAAGAACCAGTTTACTTAACCCTTTCAAATTTCGTGGTGTTTTATTGACTGGTTGGGACAGAACAAAAAATAATTTTTTAAAGCAGACAAAAGATCAGAGCTTTAAAAATAAGTGCTTCCCTTCACACACAACACAAAAATACATGAGCTGGACGGACTGGCTAACAAAAAGGAACATCAGATCATATAACAACCCCCATGTCACTGTCACTAATGCTACACAACTGGTGTGGCCTGAAATAAATGGTAAATCACAATTAAGAATAAAACATTCATAATGGCAGAAGTTGAAAAATGGGTTTTCTACAAAAGAAATGTAGAAAACTTGCAAGTAGTAGTTTTTTTGCAAATAAATCAAATGGGGTGAAATTTTCGGGCCCATCATAAAAAAATTACAAAACAGTAACAAAACAAAAGATGAGGTAAGTGAGGAAGATAGCAGTAAGATTACTGGTGCTGGTGTGCCAGATACATTGATGATAAAAATAATACTCCTTTTGCTATTCCTTTAAAAAGAATCAAAATAGCAAGGTAAGTTTTCCCACTTGTTGCACTTATATATATGTGTGTGTGTGTGTTTGCCTGAGAGTTCAAATTATACATACATACACCAACTGTTTTGCAGAATTTACGCAGACTTTTGATTACGTTCTCCACGAACAGAAAGCATAATTTATGGGAGTTGTATACTTGTTATCACCAACTTCAGCACTTCAGTATCACCATAATTTCTTCGTGGAATCAGTTACAATAATGACGAACTACGTAATGAAGAAGCAGAAATAGGGGTAAAATATTTAAAACACATGTATCATTGTAGAAAATTATCGAGTGCATCACCGCAACCTGAGTTAAATTCTTCTAGAGCAGGCGCAGCAGAACTTACATCCCAACCAGCAAACAGTATCCACGAACCAAATTAGTATAGCAATGTAAGTATACTGTTTTAACGTTAGGCTATTTTAAGGTGGATTTCTGCTGCTGCCACAGTCACTCACTTCTGGGCCTACAATTAAAACAAAAAATGAATCAAAACCTATATGGTACTACTTCACGTGCAAAGGTACACGTTAGTGTTTGAAAAACTGCCACACACCTAATGTTAATCCATAATGTAATGGTGAATGCTGTAAGTTAGGCTGGAAATTTGTCCTTAAACTCATTGATCATAAGCACACCTTCCTAATAACTTTCATCCACATCCTTCCATTTAACACGCACAAAGAAAACACGAGTTCAACTTGCCATGCTCAGGACCAGTGTTGAATCACACGTGCTAGTAGGGCAGAACAGAAAATTCCCTAGTAATACAAACACCACATCCAAATGAAAACGAATAACGCTACGAAAGAATAAAATTTCCTTACGCAATTACATCTAGAACAGAATAGAATTACGTGACATTTCATTGATCCTTCATAGGTGTAAACCAAGAGCGTAAGACATTTCACACAAATACAATTCTTGTTTGCAATACATACGTGTATTTGCTATGCTGATGGTGGACAACATAGCGCAGTTCATATTGTGCTGCGCCCTGTGAGTTATTCACAACCAAACACAATTTCGACGTGACAATAGCCCTGTCGGTAAGACGATTAAACTACTTTTGGGCCGACTCAATGCCTAATACAGTCACATAAAATTTCAGTCACTTAAAGCGCATGTGATTCCTTGTAAAACCGCAGGTCCGGGAGACACGAATGTTGTGTCAAAATCGAATCGACAGGTGAAGGTCATGCAAAGGTCATGTCAATCTCAGGACAAATCTGTGCCTTGTTGAGAAGTTTACAATGAAATTCCTGCATTTTATTAAATAAAATATACCACATGGGAATTGAGTTTTTCTTTATTCCTGGTATTATTACATCCAGACTAAGTTAACTATGAAGAAAAAGTCAATGAGTTATACTGAATGTACTCAATACAATTACAATAAAACAAGATTCATATACACTGGAGGCAGCTGATATTTCTTGATATCTTTCGGAAGGTTGCTGCAAGTAGATCTGCCGCTTGTTCACCGTTTGGATTGGTCTGAAGTTGGATGTGAGTGGTTCATGGTGTGACTGAACCTTGTGAAACTGTGCCACCTAGACAAAAGATAAAAAGAATTCTGGTTACAGACATCTTCTAGGTACCCTAACACTTATGAAATGTCATCACATGAATGTGCGAACAGTTTGCATATTGCTTAACAAATAATGTCTCGAGTCCAGAGATCTCACTCGTCCACTAACCTTTGCATCCCATTGAAGTGCCAAGGTTAAGGACATACTAAGCTTGGCATCTAAATGACAAAATTGTATAATACTGATGTACAGAGATGACACAAACAGAAGTGTACCTATACAGAATTTCTGTGGCAACTTTGAATTGCCTGTGTTGTAATCTTATTTAAGTTTACATAGGTATTTTCAGTAGACAAAATGAAAGAATGTGTATGCTAACTGGTGGACAGATATTATTTGGGTGTCTTAGTTATGAGAAATGGCTGTATTCAGTACCATGTTTCACATTCTCTTGTGCGGAGTCCATGCATTTTGAAAGAAAGGGAAAAGAGCAACTGAAAATCACCGCTTCACAACACCACCCATTTACATGTAAAAGGACAAAAACTACTTGACCACTTTCCATCAAACTTGGCATAATGGTCCTACACTAAATTTTGTCAAGCCATTTTGATTTACTTTGGATTTCTAAGGGCCTAAATGAACTTTTGCATCTATCTTTTCAATCATTTGACACATTTTGATAATATTGTGCTATAAGAGTATTACCGTATATAAGTTTCCTTCACATTAACTGGTTTTAAGGGCCTAAATGAATGTTTTATTTACTATCTTTACACATAGGCACCATGTACATTTATTCATTTGAAGACTGATGTTAGTGTTGGATACAATTATTTTTGAACTACCTCACTAAGTATTAATCTGGGACAAAAATACCTTCAATAAGAGTTATAGACAGAGCTGGGGTAGCTCAGTCAGTATAGTGTCAGTCTATGGACTTCACAACCAGGGTTAGATCCCCAGCAGAAGTAAAGGATTTTTTTTTCTAGCATCTGTATCCACACTGGCTCTGAGGCCCACCCAGCCTCCTATCCAATGGGTACTAGGGGTCCTTTCCCCCAGGGTTAAAGCACAACTGAGGCAAAACACTGACTACCTCACCCACTCTGGTGCTGTGGTCAACTATAGCTCCTCTTCCCTGAAGTACCTCTATGGTCTTTCATGTCAAACAGTTGTCTAGATTCAATTTGCTCTGTGGTTACAGCATTTATGCAATACTTTCATTGTTGTCTCAAATAATGTCTTTTATTCCTTTTATATTCTCCCCTCACTACTTTTTGCTGCTTCAAATCTTCAAGTTTATAAGGCGGGATGGTACAAAGTCAGAGGGTTTGTAAAGGCAGGAACTGGTTCAGGAGTCATCACAAATAAAGTAAAAGAACAAATTAGTATATTAATGGAGAAAAATGTAGCTGTTGTTTGAGAAATAAGAAAACACTTAAAATTATGGTCTTAAACAGAAAGAATAGCAGTAACAAATACTGTCATAATGAACATTCTGTATGGCTTGATTTGGAAGTATCATTATACGCAGACACTAAAATGAAAGTGTTCAATACAAAAGAACAGAAGAAAATTAGGATTTTCAATCATACAGTAGTAACAGACATGGATTTATAGTGCAAATACCTCACCTGGCACAGACAATATTTCCCTTCATCCACTGACAGTACATTTTGTACAGGATTTTTATGTTTAGACACATGGTAAGGTATTTCTGGTATGGACTTTTGGCCCAACTGTAGTGGCTAGACACTTTTGGTAAACTGTTCATATGTTCAAGTATTTGCACCTCCCTTTTCATGAATTCTTATCCACAGAAACCCCTTACCATGCATGTCAGGTTCTGTACCATCACTCACTATGTTTTGCTAATGCATTTCTGACATGCCCTTCTGTAATACTATGCACATACTATAGGAAGTTTTACAGCACACATTGTACTCAGTATCTGTAAGAGATACAGGGAAGGGTTTTTCTTGGGTATTCACTAACATGATATATTCTATGGCCTCACTTTTCCGTAACTTGGGAATATATGAATTTTGCTAGTTAAAATAACTAAGAGCTCAAATGGTATAAAAATAACGTTTATCTTTCCCAAAGTAATGTTATTATAGTACCCACAATCACAAGCAGGAACCACAGAACATGCAGTGACATATTAATCACATGTTTAATTCTTCTGTATTTGCTTACATCCTGATTATATGTACATATGCACCCATTCATACAGACCTTGCACACTAGATGGCAAAAGCTTTTGTTCCTCCATCATGATCTGTCCTTGTTTTAAAATAAAAGTAAAAGGAAAGCTGTCCCACTATACACCATGTAGGTGCCTAGGATGAGAGACGCACAGCTCCTACTCAATCTTAACCTCAGCACTAGACAGGGGTGAGTGGTCAGCATCACACCCCAGTCACACTTTACCCCCAGGAAAGGATCCCAGTACCCAATGGATAGGAGGCTGGGTGGGCCCCAGAGCCAGTCTGGACACAAAGGCTAGAGGAAAAATCCTCTGCCCCTGTCAGGGATTGACCATAATCATCCAGTCTGTAGCCAGTCACTATTCTGACTGAGCTACCCCAGCTCCTTGTCTTAAAATAATAATAAAAGATTATCCTTGTAATATCTGGTACATAAAGGGTGAACTGGCTGAAGATGTTCTGTGATAAATTTTTGTGGAAACAATGATGTATCTTCACACCTACAAGTATATCAAGAGCAAAATTCTTTAACAGTGAAATAACTATAAACTTTCCAGTGAAGACACTATCAGGCAGGTATTTTACATGGATAAATTAGTAAAAACTGTCTTTTAGTTTATACAGAAATTACCTGCTGTACTCCAATAGGTACAAGTTGTGCTAGAACTGTCCACACAACTGATTCATCACAGTTTGGTGTTGTGAGTGATCCAGCATAACGATAGAAGTAATTTAGTTCATCAGGCAATAAATTCTGGAGTGTTACATGTTGGGATAACTTGTATGGGATTCCCTCTGTTTGACTCACTTCAGGCATGAATTCCAACAAGGGCTGGAGCACTGTATTTGGTTCCTTTGTTTCCTGGAAAGTCACCCAAAAAAATCTAAAGAAAAGATAGATGTAAAGTGGGATGCTTGTACAGAGATTACACATGAGAACATTATGTAACACTAGATCCAATAAAAACATACAAGTTACAACAAAAGGGATTAGATAGTATTGGAGCTTGATGTTGTAAATGAATTAAATAACTATTTTTATTAGCCATCTTCATGCAACAAATCAATATTAAATGCTTCAGTATTTCATTACATGTGACATGTTTCAGACATCAGGCATCAGTTGTCTACTCAAATATATTATGCTCTTATAGTAATACAAGAGCATAAAACATATGTGTAAAACCTTGCAAAAGTATATATTTTTGTTGTTTGGAACTGTGTGTAAAAATTCTGCCTCAAGTAACAATTCACACAGCATTTATAGCTGAATTGTGTCTGTGTGAATCAAGTAATTCAGAAGAGAACTATATTAAATAATATGTTTCACTTTAATTTTAACTATCAACATATTAAGAACCAATTAGAAAAAGTTTAACATTTATAAAATTAACCCCTCAAATACATACCACCTTCCTTCAGATTAAACAGCTCTGTATTCTCCCCACAGAAGGTGCTACTGATTTCATATGATTATCATAATAAACACTGATTATTTTCTTAAACATCACCAGCAAACTGGTCTTTGTATTGCAGAAGGCTTGTATTCTCTTTGCATTAGGAACTGGGTGTGTAAATATTATTTAGATGAGCTTCAGGCTTCAAAGATTTAAAACTAATCTTTACTTATATATTATGATAGTTTCCTTTCCTCCATCCCAGCTGTAATATGAAGGTCACCCAGAAATGTTTGGGACTTGCCTGGAACACAGGGGGAGGATGGCTGCATAATCACACTTTAGCACACACCACATACTCCACACTAAGGTCAATGCACCATTTCCATCTTTCTGGTACCTTCCTGATTGATGCAGCAAACCAGTCTTTTAGGATGTATGTACTGACTTTCAAACAATGCTCTGCAAGTTATAATTTTTTTTGGAACTGGCAGCAATCCAGGCACTAGAAGCATGATAAAAACCCTTGGCCCAAGAAATTTCAGACAGCTCCTTCTACTGGCAAGTAGATAGCCATGGTCTTCTGGGACATGGAGAGCATACTGATGGTGCAGTGTCTTCTCCAGGGGACTGTAAACAGTGTAATTTACTGCAGCATCTTCACATGTCTTTGTTGGAAAATTCAACAATGGAATAAAGACAAGTAGGCACAGGAAGTGCTGGTGCTGTATGACTGCCATGCCAATTTCATAACAACAATATGCAGGCTGTGTTGAAGTGTGATTGTAGAGCTGTCATCTCACGGCCTGTATTCCAGGCAAGTCCCATTAATTTTTCAATGACCCTCATGGTTATACCAAAATGAGTTGATGCCAGAGCCTTCCTTATGAAATACATAGGTGAGGTTAGCATAATGATTTGAGATGTGCTAAGAGATAAATTATACTTCTACATACATCAAGACAGCTATCTTCATACTTGTTGCCTCAAGAACTTCAAACATCACTTAACATGCTTTTTACTTCTGTAAAAAATTTAGTAACTTACATAGAATAACACTGCAAGCACGGCCAAACCCTGATTAAATTTTACAGCATCGCCAAGTTTTTTGAACTGACGATCATAGTGCACCATATGCATTTCTAGAGGACATCTAGAACAAATAAAGATTGCTAATGTAATCCTTGTACATTAACAAAAAACAAAATTAAGCTACTAGGAGAATAGCAAAGTACGATTATTTCAGCGGTATGTTATCAGACTTCCCAACTTCCAGTGGTCTCGACTGACTCAGGATAACGTCGGAGGACATGGATTCCTATTCGAAAGTTATTCTCTCCGAGTCCCTCTATACGCTCCTTCAGTTTGGCCGTAACCTCTTAAATCACCCTGTATATTGCACTTTATTTGTGGTTCAGATATGTAAAATTTTATAAACACTGTTTTAAAATACTTACGACAGTCTTGAAATTCAACACAGTTTATGCCAAGTTTGCATACTTTAAGATGCGTATAATCTTTGGCCAAGCAAAGTCTGGGCTTGCCCGTTAAAATCTTATTGACAGCATGGACATTTTATGCACTATTTATCACGACCTACATACCAATATTCCCACACACTTAAAAGGTTCTGTCAAGAGTTAACCCTCTTTTAAAAATCATGCAAAGTGATTTGAAGGATTAAATAAACCCGACAAACCAGGGAAAGAATGAGGAAACAGTGACCACATCTCCACATGACCAGTTTTCATCTATGACTTCCTCTGTCTGTGATTAAACAAGATGACTTGAAACAAACATGTAATTTACCTCTTTCCTTGAAAAGTGTGTTCAGATCTCCAATGAAAGTGTATCTGTTCCAGACGGTACACAGCAGGCAAACCACCTGCTGCCATAACCATTTCACAGGGCTGTTCAAAAGTCAGCATCACTGTAGAGTAAACCAATGTCTATAATTAAACACAATGATAAAATTAACGGTGTAAGAGAAATCAACATACACAAAGTCATTAATAGGGCACTGCATGTTGCAATTGACCAATACTGGAGAAAATGAAATTTACTCAACAACTTTCATGTACACCTACAATACCAAGTTACATAAAAATTAATCCAGTAGCTTTGAAGACAAAAATGTGGGAGGCAGAGACAGACACCATGTTATGCAGCTGATGCAAATAAATATTAAAAATTGTTTCTTGATTGACATCAGCATGAAAGATATGATTTTATAAGCTTCATTTTAAGTTAGCCATATACTTAATCTAACAAATTGTTATGGGAATTGCAATTGCAGAACATAAGCAAATTTCACATATTCAGACTCACAAGTGTGTCCATTATTAGTCACATTCCCAACTGTCTTCCTGTCATAGTTGAGAAGAACCAGCGACTCAAAATGACCAGGAACAGCTGTTTTAGGATCCAGGTCCACTGGCGACTGTCGGGCACCAACCTGGCACATCCCCGGCCATTCATCAGGTCCTGAAAATAAAAACAATTATTTTAAAATATTTGTAGCAGTGAAATTCCAAATGTTAAGTTATTAAAAACTTTCATTATTGTCTGATGATTATGATTTATATTAAAGTTTAAGTAATAAAAATACATCTCTATTATGTCATCAAGAACTCCTGCATAAAGTGTTTATAACACACACAAAGAATTCACAACACATTCTTTTGCTGTACAGCGCAAATAAAATATATATCTGAAATCCAAATACATCTCAACTCAGTGACCTGACAGCAGAGTAGAGCTCCTTGTTTATTCAATTAATTCACAGGTCAATGGTGGTCTTTGGACCAGTATTTGTCAATAGTTTCATTCATGCCAGTCCAATATTACTTACACACACACATGCATGTATACAAAGATGTACAAATTTTATGCTGTATAATACACCATCCTTCGCCATTGCAACAAATACCTCACTCGCCCAACTGCGGTTGCAATGGTTGAGAAAGTGAAAGTTTCAATCACATCGATGTCTTATGAGAAGATATGGGGCATTTGCAAACCAAGAAATCGCACAGCAGGGAAGACCATTGGCATGCACCATTGGAAGAACAGCCCAAGGGAAACATAGCTTTACTTCGCCATTATCCTAACTG